CAATATTTTTCCCATTTTCAGTTTATTGATATTTTTTGTGTGTATTTCATACAGAACATCCCAAACAATCTTATTCATCTTTATACCACATCCCAAATGGCACCGTCCCATAGCCTCCCCTACAATTGGAGCCCATATACTCTGTCATCCCTGTTCCTGTCCACTGTGTTATCAGTGCTTCCAGTTGTTACCCAGTGCTAGTCCATCTGCTGAGTCTAGTCAGCCTATCTAGAGTTCCTTGTTCAGCTCTTCCTCATCCAGCAGCAATCAGCTGCCAACATTCCTTTAGATAAGATTGGGGTCTGCTCTTCATTTCCCAGTTCTATGCTGGGTTACTGTCTGGGAGTCTCTTGGGCCACCCTGGCCAACAACTCAAAGGAATGTAGGCTTTAGCTATACACATGGACTTTTAAAGAATTATATTGATCCCTTTAATCTTTGGTTCTACTTTCCTTTTGGGTGTTTAAGACCATACAGGTGGCCCAGATAAACTAATTTATTTTTACTTTGAAGGTCGTTTGAGGATCTGTTCCTCAGGGGTCACGTGAGCTTGGGAGGAGCCCCTGGCTCCTTTCTTTTACCAGTTCCATCTATGTAAAGATAAGTCAAAGATCCTGCCCGACTGACTGTGGATGGCTTCACTTGGAAGCACAGAGGAAATTCCTCTGTGTTGACCCTCCTCTTTGTAGACTGGACACTGGTTCAAGTCCATTTGGTGAGGTCTCTATGGCTTCCTTGATCAAGAGGACATGTGACTCACCGTTACAGGACATTTTGAGAGATGCTCATAGTCCTCTGGAACTTAGTCAACCTAGGAGGGCAAGGAGCAAAAATTGTACTTTATGTCCCTCTAACCAAATTAGTATAGGCCTCAAAGTATGACTGTTAAACATCCAAGAAGGTTAGTTCCAGCAGTCTGGTACTTTTAATTACCGTGTGCCATGTAGATAAAGCTTGGGCAAAGACAAAATGTTCTCAGATGAACCTTGCCTAGACATATGTTATGTTCCTTGATCTAGTTGTACGTACAATTTGTCAGTAGGATGTTAGACTAATATTGTTCCCTCTGTTTTTCTAAAACTAGCTAGGCATTATTCATCTCTTGCATTGTCTAACCCTTCCATCATGGTTTCCCCATTCTAAGTGTCCCCATTTTTCCCCTTTCTCCCTTAATAATACCACCGATGGTTCCTTGTATAAACCTCCCCCCCCTTAAAAGAATCCCATTGTTATCCATATCTCACTTATTAATACCTGTTTCATTCTGTTCTTCTCTTTCAGATTCTTTCTTTTCCTTTACCTCCCTGGTTCCTTTTCATTAACCTGGTTCCTGTAGTTATGTCTGGATACATACCCAAAAGGAGTTGGTGCCAGGAACCCCATATTAGGGAGAACATATTTCCTTTTTTTTTTTTTTTTGGGTTTGTGTTAACCTCCTTAATATAACAGTTTCTAGTTCCATCTATTTACATGAAAATTTCATGATTTCATCTTTCTTTACTGCTGAGTAAAACTCCGTCGTATAAATGAACCACATTTTCATTATCCAGTCAATAGCTAAGGGATGCTTAGGTTGCTTTGATCTCTCAGCTATTGTGAAAAGAGCAGCAACAAACATGGATGTACCCGTCTCTCTGCAATAGGATGAGTTCTTTGGATATATGCCAAAGACTGGTATAACTGGGTCAAATGGTAGATTCACTTTTAGTTTTTTAAGAGTTCTCCACACTGCTTTCCATAGGAGTTGAATAAGTTTGCAATCC